CATGCGCGGTTTTTCTTGAGGAAACATTCTAACTACACATGCTTATGCAGCAGGTTCCGAGTCAGAAAGCCTAACGGTCATATATACAGACAAGAAGAAGAATAGTATAGATAATTTAAAAGAGTTTGTTTGTTCTGATGTAGGACAAAGCAACATAATGGGCTATCTGCGCTCTGCCCACCACGGATTTTAGTATTGTAAGTACATAAACTTATTGCTGACCCAGCGATGGACGAGAAAAAAACAGTGTTGGTGCTTCTTATCCAAATAGCCGAAATTTCAGAGTCACTAGTGCAAGACAAAAGAGCCCCCCCCCCCCCACGTTTCACGGCCCCAGCAGCGAATGAGTACAAAGGTCGATAACTTACAAAACACTCGTGATGTCGGCATTTCAGAATCACCTTAAGATCAGATTTAAGGCAGGTCAGGCGAGCGGCTATACCAGGCTGTTTTAATACAGAAACCCGAGAGGGTCGTACGTGTATTTTAAAAGTATGTTATTCGTTAATGAAGCATTCTATAAAAGAGAAAATGTAACAACGTTAAGTTTTAACTTTAGCAGTAAAGTGTTACAAAACATTTGCCCCCCCCCCCAATCAGTTAATGGCTCAGCAGTAAGTTTGAAGACTTATAATGCTAAAAACCAGGTTTCGATACCCGTGGTGGGCACAGCAGAGGTAGCCCATTATGTAGCGTTGTGTTTAACAACGAAAATACAAAATATTTATAAACGTCAGAAATACTTACGGAAAGAAAAGTTGTACCAAAAGTCCAAGCACGCCATATTGTTTAGGTTTGTTATGTGCTTCACAAACGGTACGTTTCATACATTCTTGTGCATCGAGTTGAGGAAGACTAGGGAATCCCTCCAAAGTATCTTCCACGTACGTCATCACCTTTTCCGACATTCCCGTCAAGCTCTTGCTAACAAATCCGCCAGCATCGCGGAGATCTATTTCGTTCAACTTCTCCAAATCTTTATCTCCCAACGATGCCAGAACTGGGTACAGAAGGGCCATCGTCCCAAGGCCTAGAAGAGCTACACTTACAATACCAGAAGTCTGTAGGAAAGATACTGAAGGAGGAACTTGACGGCTATACGCGTCAAGGAAGACAGGGAGCAACCGACTTTCACGGGAAGATTTGGGATTGAGGTGCTCTATCCCATTCAAGTACTGGTTTTCATCCTCATCATCGTCTTCAGTGATAATCTCAACATCATCATCTATTTGTTCTGGAGGTTGGTCTTCAGCGAGTACTGTAAGTGAAGCAAGGATTGTTGCCAGAATGATGATTATCTTCATACTGGTTTACTCTGGATGAAAAATGAAGAAAATTATAATAAACATTTCTTCTATAGAAACCAAATTTGTCAAATAATTTGTCTCGTACAAATAACAGTGAGCAATCTAATGTTCACAATTAGTCTGAAATCGATTCAAACTGCATAAAATCTCCAAAGATGCACTTAGAACAAACTTTCTGTGTCAGTGTTCACCCAAATATCCATCCACTATATGTATGCATACAGTGAACCCACTACGTGTACATTTATATGCGTATGCATACAGTGAACCCACTACGTGTACATTTCGGATAGGCTGACCTTATGAGATATTAAGGTGTGACATATGTACAAGTTACACAATTACATTTAAAAAATATGAAGCCTCGCCAAATTAGTATTTATTGGACTACGTAAGAGTATGAAAGAGTACACAAGCAATATGGGTTCCTTCGTACCGAGAGGGTCAGGCTTGGCCTAGTGGTTAGCGAACAGCCTCAAGGTACAAAAGTGCTAGTAAATTCCTTATCCGAGTTAAAGAGCCGGACGGATCTTGTGTGTCAGCGGGTGTTATTGGCTGGCCATTCACCGTTTAGTAAGTAGTTAAAAACTGGGACAAGTTATACCCGAACACTAGGGGGCTCTGACCTTGCCGTTAGTGTATATTATAATGGTGAAGTATAAAAGATTCGTGTGTGAAAGTCCAAAATTGTAGTGATTATTACATTAAGTATTTGTTTTTAATTTTAGAAAATATTAATAGTTTTGTCAGGATGGACACGAACGAGGCCATCTTTAGCTCTATAAGATGAATGGTGGTGTAATCTAATACCTGCGACACAGAAAACACTTTTTTTTTATATTAACAACTTGATTAATGATCTATATCAAGCCGTGGCATTGTTACACAAAACATTAACAATGGCATCCTCTAAAGAGGGTCAACTTTATAATGAAATATTGTCTTGAAACGGGTAAGTTGACAACCTCGTTACACTTGGAAGAATTAGTTATGGGCTGTTGCTGTCTAAAAAAGATTCTAGAAAACGTTTCGGCGTTGAAGCTGACATTTTTTGTTTTGTGCACCGGGGAGTGACGTTTCGAAATTTTTTTTACTGGGAAGGGGGGGGGGTTATGGGTGGGACAGAAAGGAGAGGGGTCAATACAAAATAAATACAGGCTTTTATGCCGTTGAGAAGTGTCTACATGTTCTTACTAATTATTAAAAAAAAGAGAGAGAGAAGTCAAACTTACCTTAGATCCCCTTTGCACAACTTCGCCCGCGGACTGATACAGTTTCAAACCACTGTTAATTGCCACCCAATACGTCTCATCCGATTGGAGATACTTATTTTGGTTCACGTTATATGGTGTGGTTACGTGTTATGACTACATCGCTTTATCAAAACAAAAAGTTATGATAAAAAAATATTGTCAGTGACAGTCAGCGTGATAATCAAAATGTTTAAAAAAATTAATCCCGATATCTCGGATTGGGGGCGAGGCAGAGCTTTCCAATGCCCCTCCCCCCTCAAATACCTTCATGGTGGACACGCACCTTCTTTCCAGACACTCATCTGGCATTATCAGATCATGGAAAATTCCAGTATTGTAACAATATTTGAAGAAATAAAACCATTAGATACGATGTTAATAACATCTAGGAAAAACCTTCATTTCACACAACGTTTCGGTCGTAGGTCCTCCTTCTGGTGATGTTTGCTAAAGTCGTAAATACGGATATGACCTCGAAGAGCAACGACAGCAAAACATCACATAAAGAACCACGTTTGACATGTTCTCTATTCTTGTCCTTCCATAGTTTATCTCTGACCGCCCGAGGGGCAACCCCTCCCCCCTTGAACACCTGTCGTGGACAAACAAATAAAACGGTCTTTACTGAGGTTTTTCTCACCAACCCAATAATATTATCCAGTACATGTGGAAGAATAGCCTATCCAAACAAGAGAATCACGCGCCGCCTATGATTGTAGCACCAACATAAAGTTTATGTAATGAGAAATTAGTATCATGGGCGTGTGACTGAAGAGACGAATCACTCTCGCGTATGATGTCGAAATGTGTTGTTTGCACTCTTCGTGGGTATCTCCCCACGAAGAAATGGGTAACGCATTTTGGAAAACTAGTGTGTGTGTGTGTGTGTGATGTAGGAAAGACCGCGTTGGCAGATTGTGTTTATTGTTATTATAGAGACGAATAAGAAGACAAAGAATTTCACGACAAACAGAGAGAGAAGTAAAAAAAAAACAAAAAACAATTTTATCTCCTATCCTTCTCCATAAAGTTTGAATCAGGTTATCGACCACCGAGATTCCAAAACAAATTTAGGTTTAGAAACTACCAATAGACCTTATGTAACTGCTCAGAAACTCCGAAACAAACATGAAACACAGACTATCTCGGAGGATGTGTGAAACTGATTGCATCTTAGTATCCGTCGTTGAAAATGGGTGCTTCATTTTACACTACAGCTGCACTATGTGTAAAAAGTTATCAAAAATTCTGGATACATTAATAAAGCTTACCTTGCACGACCGTTTGCTTTTAGGCTTCTCTAATTAATTTGACCGACAGCAGTAAACTGAACGAAAAGCTGTGTTCTGTACCCAGCGGAAGCTCACCGTATAATGAAAAAACATTTTAAATGTCTTTTATGACCGGATACTATAAACACTCGACATCTTAGAGTCCGTGAACTATAATATGATCAAATATTTGATAACGTTTGTTTGTCTTATAATAAAACCATATTGGCTATATTCTGCGTCCACTGCGGATTTTAGCATCGTAAGTCCGTAGACTTATCGTTGTCCCAACGAAGATCATGTAAGGTGCACAGTAAAGTTTCTTATTTGCGTATAGATGGCGTGATAATAAACTATCTGGTATAGTGTAAACCGAAGTAAATATAAATAATTTAGATGTTAATATTAATAAATTTTTCCCGGAAAAAAAAATTATGATTGTTAAATATTTCTTTAATTTTAGGTTAATTAAGGCTCAGTGATTGAACAAAAAAAAGAAAAAGAAATCCTTCGAAAATATTTCTAAAAAATAAAGTAATTGTGTTAAGTCCTGAAACAACTTCATCTAATACATGTATCTATCACCACTAAACTTGGACAGTTTCTGACTGAAATCTTACTCGTACTGAACGGTACCACGTCAACTAAACGGTATTTTACTGACTTGAACTGTACCGCGTCAACTAAACGGTATTTTATTGACTTGAACGGTACCGCGTCAACTAAACGGTATTTTAGTGACTTGAACGGTACCGCGTCAACTAAACGGTATTTTAGTGACTTGAACGGTACCGCGTCAACTAAACGGTATTTTACTGACTTGAACGGTACCGCGTCAACTAAACGGTATTTTACTGCCCGACGCTTGTCACTTCAAATGCAACTGTTTTTTCTTCTTCAAATGTTTATATCAATGTTTTAGCATAAAAACTCGAAAATTCATCTTTTTACGATTCCTTAATTATTATGAAGAAGAAGGGGGGGGGGGAAGGTGTGTAGAAACTTTTAATGAAGATCTTTTAAAGATAGTTCTTTATAAAAAATATGCATCAACACACACCGGTCTTTTTAAGGGACAATATTTAAAACGTTCTCTTACCCTGGTCCGACGATGTTTCTCCGCGCGATACACACAAAAAAGGACGAAAAAATACACGAATAAACCACCCGAACACGAAGTTGATGAGCAGCTTGTCAAATTTACATTTCAAAGATCCAGGTTGGGACTTCTACAGACGTTTTATACGAGCCATGACGTCATCGTGACCTCCAACATTCTCACGTAACGAGGTTGTTGACAAGGGAAAGTACATATATTCATACACGGAGGGAGGTCTTCTTCGTTCGTTGCCCCCTCTATTTTCTTCGTAAGTTTGCAAGGTCAAGGTAAAGGAGGAAGTAAAAGTGAAGAAAACAACAGTGTAACGTAGTTTGAAAGGTAACGATACACTAAAAAAGTCATCTCGAAATTCAAATCGGTCTTTATACAAGTCACTAGATATATCTTAATTAAGTCTGCCGTGCCTGCCATATATACACTATTGCACGTTACCTGTTTGTGAAGCCATTGTTTGAACAATTCTTACCATAAAGTTAAAAGATTAAAATGTTTTTTTTTTGTTTAAATTTCATGCAAAGCTACACGAGGGCTATCTGCGCTAGCCGTCCGTAATTTATCAGTGAAAGACTAGAGGAAAGGCAGCTGGTCATCACCACCCACCGCCAACTCTTGGGCTACTCTTTTACCAACGAATAGTGGGATTGACCGTCACATTATAATGCCCCCACGGCTGAAAATGTTTGGTGAGATGGGGTTTCGAACCCGCCGATTGCGAGTCAACCACCTGGCCAGCCCTGGAGAGTAAAAATCGTTTTTCTAACTTCCAATATGCACCACAAATTCTGAAAATCAAAATTCTTCCATTCATATCCGAGTGGTAAAATAATCGTATAGTATCAACATATTTAACTGGCCTTCGACACGTTGCCTAACTTTGATATTTTCGTAATTCTACTGAAGTACAGGTTATGTCAAAAAAATTCCAATGAGAACAATAATTATAAAGATATCGCTTATTTTCGTTAATGAAATATTATGTATAATATCGTGATTCCATCAGTATAACTTACCAAACGTCAAAGAACTTTGTCTTGATATATTAAGCATAGTTGTGAAGAATTTTTCTAATGCTTATCAAACAATTATTTTTCTTGTTCTTTTTTTCGGTTTTGAAATATTAGAACATCAGACAATTGGAATTTATTGTTTACGTGAAATATCTTTTAATCCGCTCATACAACCAAGCTAGGCATTGGTATAGTTTTTGTCATATCACTCTTACTCGAATTAATTTTTCGACAGTTTTCATTTGTTTGTTTTATATGCGAGAACTTTATGAAGAATTAAAATTTCGGCAGTTGAAAAAAATCAACCCAGTGAAGTTTTTTTGAATTTCAATACAAGTATTTCGAA